GCTCCGAGCGCTGCCCGCCTGCCCTCGCTGGATCTCTTGGCGGGTGTTTACTCTGCGGGGCCGAACCGGCGTTCGGATGGCTTACAAGGCTGTTCCGTTCCAAATGGGTCTTAAAATTACGCGGTGGGAGCGTTTAGGTGCCAAGTAATCGCGCGGGTCCCAGTCTGGGATGGAGACAACAAGCTTAGAGGTTGGGTCGTGGTCATCGGGATCCCGTTCACGTCGGAACTCGGCTGTGAGAACGCAAATGAATGAGAAATAGTGTGGCACAAATGAAAAGTAACGCAGATAAGGGATCCTTCTCTGAGTAATTACAACAAAACGCACAATTAAGTTTCTAGAGGCTAAATGAAACCGAGTTTGTCATCCGAGTTTCGGGAGGCGTCTGTTTGGTATCTTTCTTAGGGTTAAAAAAAGCCCCTAAATTTGAAACTTGGCTATACTAATTCGAATAGTATCTCTAGGCAAAGCTGCTTTTCAGAACATGAGTGTGTGTTCTGTTCTCTCTTAGCAAGGTATGAACTTTCACTCCTGATAAATACATAGGTGTGCCAGCTATCAACGCGGGGAGAAAACAGCTGGGCTTGTGCTTTAAATGTTATGATGTATTTTAAACTCGCAACAATGAAGCAGGAGAGAGCAGTTTCGGGTTGTTTTTTTTTTTTCTTCGTGTCTTTATGTATTTTCAGTGTAATTAGGAACCAGATAAGGAATTTTTTCAGCGGGGGAAGTTTATAACTTCCTGGTACTAGCTAGCTTTTGTCGGTTGTTTTTTTTTTTCTCTTTTAGTTGCCGTTTTGTAATGTAACACGATAGTAAAGAGGAAGTTCACGAGCGTTGTTCGGTCTCTGTTAGAATCTGTGCAGTTTATGGAGCCGTAGGTAGATTACTGCTTTTTCAAATCAAATCGTGTTACGGTTCCAGTTGCTTTTGCTTAAATTGGGTGGGGTGTGCTGTGACAAAGCTTTGCCATCCTCCCGCTTTGCCTGAAGTGTTGCAGATTCTTGCTTTTTAGAAATGGCAGACTTTGTGCCACCAGGGATTTGTTCAGAGCGGTGACAGAGTTAAAGAGCGACACTTCTCCCATCTGTGTCTCAGTGCAGGCACCTCGGGCCGGAGGGTTTCGGGTGATACTTTCACATCTCCACAAAGACCCACAGCTGCTCTGCTTTCACATGCAGGTGTCGATGGAGAGTCTGTTCACCCCTGGCCTTGCAAGAAAATGACAAATTGGGCAGTTCCCCCAGAGCCTGCTTGCTTGGAGCCAAGGAATGAGACAGAGCCCTTGATCGGGTTGTCACACTTCCTCCCTTGTGGCACAGGCTGTGTTAAACTTGAAACTCTCGCAGGTTTCTTGTCATGGAGAGAGGTCTGATGGAAATCTGCTCTCCGAGTTTTAGGGATTGTCCTTTTGTTGCTCTTTGTATTGCTCAAAATGTGAGAATAAAACACCCTTCAGTTCTTGAGTGATCATAACTGGCTGAACTCTCACAGCTGTCACTGCTTCTAACCTCCTTTCCTTGCTGAGCTCTCAGAGCTGTCATTGCTTTTTCCTCTTTTCCTTGCATATATAACTGGGACACTTGATCTCCTATATCCTCTTTAAAATTATTCAGTTTATCAAAAGGGAATAATTTTAAAGAGAATATAGGAGATCAAATGTCCCAGTTATATATGATAGTTTGGGTTATCTACCTGATGGGAGGTGATCAGTTAAGAAACTGCATTTTGACTGACTGTTGGAAAGGTCTATAAAGAGTCCTGAACAACAGTTCCCAAAAGTTCTGACCCCAAACACAGTCTCAAGTGGAAGTGCATTGTGCTTGTGAAGGTTTTAAAATTATTCAGTGTTGTATTCAGTGCAGGAGGGGCGAAAAAGCAATTCAATACAGGCAAGTTGTAATGTGCAGCACAATGTTTCTGTTGCTAGCATGTGTATAGGCAATTAGAATTAATTACAAAGACAAATTAAACTCTTAAGAACTTAGATGAAGGATTAGCTAGATTTTTTTTCTTCCATTTCAAATGCTTTATGGAGTAGTCATGGGCAGGCAGGTAATAAATAGGAATAGCTGTGCGTTTCTCCTCTAGAATTAGTGAGAGTTTGGGTTTTGGTGTATCTCACATTGGGTTGACATACAAAGCAAGACCTGAGGAGGGCAGGTCTGTAGTGTGTGTGTGGGAGCTAACAGACCTCTGTGTGTGTGAGAGAGCAGATTGTGACATAGTTAAGTTGTGCCACTTCCAAGCACATTGCTGATTTACAGAAATAGGGAACACCAGACACTCGGCTGCAGAGTGCTGGTAATACCTCTCACAAACACTTCTGTGTGTTTCCTCTCTGCACAAAACATGATGACACTGATAATCACAGCGGAGATGATAACGTGATTCTTGAATAGAGAGAGAGGCAGCCAAGACAAAATGAAGTTTAATGTTTAATCTCTGGAGGCTGCTGTGTCACCGAGCTTTACTTTCCCACAAACACACCTGCTGCTGAGTGGTGGCTTTACCTTCAATGACATTTGTTTCAACCACAGCCCTGTAAAGATCACTGAGCCCAGAGCCTTAAAATAAAGGGCTCCCGAGAGGTGAGAAAATAGCCCTCTCAAGCGAGCATTGCTAGAACTGAAGGGAAGTTGTTGGTTAAAGCAGCAAGAGTTAAAGACCTCAAGTGATTGCGCTCTTGTGGTGAGCGGCGAGGCTCTGGCTGGTTCTGACAAATACACAATGTCTGTGGGTGTCCTGCATGTCTGCTGGGCAGCTATGTAAGCATGAGAATCTCCCAGATTAGGAGGCACTTTGCTGTAATGTGGTTGTTTTAACTTGAACACAGATTTTTAATTTATATATGGATACGTGTCTGTATTTGTGCTGATCAGTGCAATAGCATTGGAGTAGGCTGAAGTGTGGAGGTTAAAATAGCCATGCACAGATGCGTGAGCACGGTTTTGTGAGAAGCCCAGACTTCTGCTCTCTCTGAAACCAGCTTTACGTCATTTCTAGGCTTTTTTCTTATCAATGCCTGCCTTCCCCTTCCCTTTTGCTTGTTTTCCAGAAAGAGAAAATATGCAAAGCTCATCTAAAGGAGAGTTAGGTAAAGAGCTGGAAGTATCTAGAAAAGGGACCATCCCCCTGAGGAACCTAGACTAGACTAGTGGCTAATGTATATTTAATGTGAGAGCTCATGGCTGGTGATCAGAAAGTTACTTAAAATCAACCTGGTGGGAGGCAATCAGTTTAGAAGCTGCATTTGACTGACTGTTGGAAAGGTCTATAAAGAGTCCTGAACCACAGTTCCCAAAGGTTCTGGCCCCAAACACAATCTCAAGTGGAAGTGCATTGTGCTTGTGAAGGTTTTGCAGAGGCTCCAGTTGTTGAAGCCCATCCAAGAGCTGCTCTCACACGGTGGAGGATGCAGTTCCACCCCTGCTTGTAGGTGTGTGACAGATAAATGTGCATCCAGGTCACACTGAGGTGATGTCTCACATGTTGTTCTTTCCATCCATCCCTTCTCTGCTGCTCTTGATTACTTTATCTCTTAGGTTATAATATTTTCCTACTTTGGGTATGAACTGCTGCAGCACTGGAAATCTTTTGTGATCAACAAATCCCAGCCCAGGCATAAAGTTCAAGCTTTGTGTTGGCAGAGGTGCCTAAACCAATATAGATGCACAAAAGAGAAGCCTTTATTATGGAGTTAGGGTTGGAATCCACCTCTTTGCCAAAACCTGTGTGCTGTGGATTCACAGGCAGCTCAGACCTTGGGCAAAAGGAAGTTGGGGTTCTTTTACCCTTTCAGCACTTTCAATATATTTAATAACTGTTTTGCTTATTATGTTGAAGTCCAAGCACTTTTTTTCAGTGCTGTGCCACAGGATATTGTCTGTCCTGTTTGTTTGTGATGCTCAGCCTTGCTTGAGGAGGATGCTATTATGTGAAGATGACAGAGAGCTCAGTAGACATTTCCATAAGCTACGTTCTTCTGATTGTGTAGCACTGTGATGATTCAGCTTCAACAATATTTACTTAGCCTCTTTTGTTTGTTTTTCACATGCCATCCCACTGTTGTCACTGTTTGATTGACTGTCCTGTTTGATGTTCTCAGTGAGATATATGAAACAGCTTGTTGCTGTCTGGCAATAAAACATCACTTGAAGAGTTCTTAGGCTCTTGCTAAGTTAATGTCTTTCTAACCCTCCCCATTTAAGAGTTCTGCTGTCTCTTATTCTCAGCTGTCACTCTGTCTTTCCTGAAAACCTCCCTTCTGACAGCTGCCCAATACTTTTCTGAGGTTTCATTGTCTGGGGAGATACTGCAACTAGAAACCAGCCCCATGGGAGGTGGGCAGCTCAAAATGTAGAATTCAATACGAGCAGTCAGGTATTTTTTGAGCTCACAGTGATAGTGAGCTTCCATCCATTAGGAGTATGGGGTTTTTTTGCATAATTTGAATAGTTTCTGCTGCACTCTGATAGGAACTAAATCAATGAATTCTGAGCAAACATCTTCCCTTCCAGAGGATGCTTAAGAGAACACAGCAGTTGACAGTACCAGTGCTTGGAGAGGACAGCCATTCTTAGAACTGTAATATTCCTAAAAATGTTGGATGACGATTTGAGAAATCCCAAATAATGATTTGGGTTTTGTAGTATAAAACCTTCTTTCATCAGACACATCTTCTACAATGGTTAAAAGAAGCTAAATTCTAGAAGAGATGGAGGGAGGGGTGTCTTTTTTTGCTAATTACTTCCATGGTGTTGATACCATGGACGTTTCATCCAAATCTGTTCTCTTCCCTTGTACCCCAGCTTCAACATGTGCATGTACATAAAAATAAAGAGTGGATTTCCTGAAATCCACCAAGTGGATTTCAGACCAAGTGGAAGGATGGTAATGTAAATCAAAAGTCTAGAAGTTCTAATTCTTGCATCTTCTGCTGCTTTTTAAGCTCTCTTGTGTCCTAACATTGAAAATATTTTATTTTGAAGGTGGCCCTGAGCCCTACATTGAAATATTTGAGCAACCCAGGCAAAGGGGCATGCGTTTCAGATACAAATGTGAGGGAAGATCAGCAGGCAGCATCCCAGGAGAACGCAGTACTGAGAACAACAAGTCCTTCCCTTCCATCCAGGTAAATTCTGCTTTTATCCAGGAGTTAGCAGTGCCCGTGTGCTCGTAGCTATGTGTTGGACTCTGCACTGTAAATACAATGCTTTTCATCTCTCCTTCTGGGATTCTTTCCTTGGCATGCAAATGGAGCTGCAGCAGAGTGGGAAAAGAGTTACTTGCTCCTGGTCACGAAAAGATTTGTTTTCCAGGAGGAGGAGAAGGTGCAGAGGTGGTTTACAAAGTGCTGCAAAGTGCTGCTAGAGGGGCCGCAGTGGAGACTCCAGGGCTGGGAGCCATTCATTAGCAGCTTTCTCTGTGTGCACGTCTGCTCTGCTGGCTTAGCTGGGTGACGTGGGCTTGGTTTTAAGGTTTGGACTGCAGCATGAATTTTGGGAGAGAGTTGAAGGAATTTGCCTACAAAATGTGGAAAGGCTTTGAAAGGTTGCTGGGCACAACATGAAAGAAGGCGCTCTGTAGGAGCGAACAACCACCCGTGATGGGGAGAATGGGCTCTGCAAAAGACACCAGCATGAAGTGTGTGAAGGCAGAACTTCAAAATGAGCTCAGAACAGGAAACTGAGTCCTCAGAGCATCTGCAGGGATGGTGGGTGGGGTGGTTGCACCATGGATGGGTTGGGAAATCCAGAATGGAGAGGGATTCAGGGGAGCCCTGAGAGCTGTGACCAAAGCAGGGACAAAGTGACAGCAGAGCTGGAAAGGAGCCACTTGGGCAGTAGCTTTCATAGGCTGGACAAAGGAGACCCTAGACAGGTAGGGTAAGAGAAGATCCTTTCTGATCCCCTTTCTGATGTTTAAGTTGACAGTGTTTCCTTGATCTCTTTCAGTTTGGAGGAAGTCTGTCAGAACTGAGATTAGAGGAGAAAACTTCCCATTTAAATTTGAGCTAAGAACACTTGCCATCTTCCTGCCCAGGAGCAGAGGCTGTGTATCTGTGTTTGCAGAGTGTGCCAGCATATAAAAAACCAATGGGGAGCCCAAAATGGATTCTCTGGAATCATAGCAGGACATTAACAGATAAAGATGATGTGAAATGTGAGAAATGAGATGTTTTATGCTGAGGCAAAAAAGCTTATTAAGAGGGAGGGTTTGAGAAGGAGAGTGTTGGCAGTCATGTGTTGAGCAGCAGAGTGAGTCTCTATTGCACAAAAGCAGCTGTGGAAGCTGGTCCAGCCCTGGAGCCAGAATCAGTGAGGGAAGAAGCAAAGCAGGGTTCCCTTTGACTATCTCAGTGCCAGGTTTGGTTAGGGAATGCAGGAAATGGAGATGGTGCCAGACTCATTTTTCAGCACTCTGCCAATTGAAGAAGGAACTGTGTGGGCTGCTGGCAAGAGTAGAGGCTTGCACAGACTCTCAGCCCCAGTCTGTGTCAGGGCACAAGCTGAATGGGCTGAATCAAGCCTTGATTCTTCTTTTCTTGGGCTGTGCTGCACATGAAGGCCAGGCAGAACCCGGAGGGGAGGTGGGACATGGGTTTGTGACCATGCAAGCCTGGCCAAGTTTGTTCTTTTGAAAGGTGGCTATTGATGACAGAGCTGATTGTGCTGATAGCAGGTGATTTCTAGGTGAATTCCTGCCTCCCTGGAGCCCGTGGGAGGCTTTAGTGCTGATTGGGTTCCAGGGGAGTCCCCTCTCGAGATGGAAATGTGAAGAGAGAGGCCAGGAAGAGATTAAATTTCATGGTGTGGTTATGAAGATGAACATCAAGGGGGAACTGGAGAACCAAAAGCAGCTAGATCAGGCTTCACATTCATGGGGCTGGGTGTAAAGTGAGGGAGCAATGATGTAATGGTTGCAGAAAGTGAAGGATCAGTGGAAGTGTCATTTTAAGGATAAAAAGTTACAGTGGCTTGTGTGAAGACTGAATGGAGCCAAATTGGAGACTGATGCAAACAGATGATGACAGGTAAAAGAGCACAGTTCAAGTTAAAGATTTGTAGTGTTGTCTAAAAAGGATGCATGGTGGATCCTTGGAGTCTCAGGAGGAGGAGGAGAGGGATTGTTACTTACAGGGCAGGGGAAGTGGAGGAGGAAAGCTCACCTCTGCACAAACATTGCCTGAGTAAGTCTTGTATTTGCTTTCAAGCTTTTATGTGTCAAACAATTGAGGCCAAACTGTTTTTCCTCCTTTTTTTTTTTTTTTCTTTTACACTCCCCCACACTCGGTGACTTCACTGGTAGCCATCAGCTTGAGGTTGCTTTCATGCACCTGAGAAAGGAGCATTGAACTGGCTGATGACTCTGAGAGCTCTGGTAGGAGCCTGAGACTTTGCTGCCCAGCCCGAGTGTAAGATTGACTACTCATCTGAGAGTTAGTTGGGAAAAACCCAACAACTTCAGAGGGGATTGTGTCATGTTATCCTGTATCTGCTAAGATCCTCTTTCACTACTTAGTGTTCCATGCACAGGTAGTATTCTCATCCCTGAGGTTTTAGGAGTTTTTTTCCTAAAATCTTTGGAGGTAGACTTGTTCTTCAGGCAGCATTTCTGTATGGTCCCCTGTTTAGCTTTGGTGTTTCTTCCACAGAGCATTTCAGGATATAATTGATTTTCTGTAACAGCTGGGGGCCGATACCTAAAACCTTGAAAATATCCCACATTTTTGTTGTAGATTCTGAACTATTTTGGAAAATTCAAAATAAGAACCACGTTGGTAACGAAGAATGAGCCCTACAAGCCACACCCCCATGATCTGGTTGGCAAAGACTGCAGAGATGGCTACTACGAGGCTGAGTTCGGGCCAGATCGGCGAGTCCTGTCGTGAGTAATGCTGTTGCTTGGGAGTTTGATTAATTGTGCAAGGGATTTGCTAATCTTGTGTTTTAAAACTCATATTAATGATTAAAAGAGCAATTACAATGCTGTCTTTGCTGTAGTTTACTAATCCATCCTGGGGAACTTCCCCTGGAAGTATTTCCTTCTCTTTTTGATATTACACGTGTGCTTTTACTTTCCTGTCACCCTTTTCTTTCCTTCAACCATTCCCCCAATGTCTGTCTTCTTTTCCTTTCTCCCACTTACTTTTTTTAGCCTTGTTCATTAATACATCTTACTCTTGAGCATGACTCTTTCCTACATGTAAAAATGATGAGTAATAGAAAGGGTAACAGCATTAGAATTTGTGCTTCGTGGTGATGAGGGAAGTTCACACCTTCCATGGAAATTGTATTTGGACTTTGTGAAGAAAGTTTGTAGTGGCTGAGTATCATATAATCTAGAAGACAGGGATTGTGACACATCTGGGAATGTTAGTGGCTGTCACTTGTTGCTTGTTGTTTGGGTTGGGGTTTTTTGACTGAAGATACAGAATCTGCTCAGGCCCAGCTCTGAAGAGTAAGTGTGCCAGGGAAGGATCTGCTTGTGGGTGCAGAGAGGAAAACTCAGGATATGTACAAGACATTCCTCAGTGCTGTTAACTGTGTTTGAGATATTCTTGTATTTGGTGGTGTTTCCTCCAAGTTGACCAAGTCTCGTGTAACAAAATAAAAGCAGAATAAGCTGCAGCAAACATGGAGTGATTATTGCTGGAGAAGGGAATTTAGAACTGGCAAGCTGTTTGTGGTTCACAGTTTGCAATGCAGGAAATATGGAAGTAGGCTATTGCTTTGGGGTAAGCATAACTGAGCTGGGAAGAAAATCAGGTGAATATTTCAGTACATAAGTAGCTCTTACACACAGCTCTCAGGCCAATGGGATTCTGTTGGTGTTGCTGAAATTACTCCATGTTTACGTGGGTTTAGTCAGTAGGACACTATTAAAGGAGAGAGCTGAAGACACATCTGTTTTGAAGGCGGTGATTTATTTCCCTGATGGTGAAATAAACAGTGGAGATGCTTCTTCAGCATCCAGCCCAGGCTGAAGGGATCAGGGGTGGGATCAGCATCCAACCCAGGCTGAAGGGATCAGGGATGGGATCAGCATCCAGCCCGGGATCAGGGATGGGATCAGCATCCAGCCCAGGCTCAGAGGATCAGGGGTGGGATCAGCATCCAGCCCAGGCTGATGGGATCAGCATCCAGCCCAGGCTGAAGGGATCAGGGATGGGATCAGCATCCAGCCCAGGCTCAGGGGATCAGGGATGTACTGCAGCATGTTCTGGTGGCACAGAGCACCCTGACTTGCAAACATCCTAAACTCCAGCAGGACCTTGCACCTTCTTCTGACCATCCATTGACCAGCTTCCCCTGGGTCTTCTCAGACCAAGCTTCCTCAGCCAAGGTCAAAGGAAGTCTGCTGTTCTGGCCCATCCCACTTCCTCCCCTCACTCTGTGCCTGCTGACCCAAAGCAGAAAGCCTGATTGCTTAACTCTTTTTCTGGCCCTGTGTTCCCATCACTGAGTGCAGGCAGACCCTGAAGATTGCTTCTCCTCTTGGCATTTGGTTGCACAAGCTTCAGTGTGGGGGCACAGGCGAGCCTGTTGGAGAGGCCATTGCAGGATGTCACGCCAAGAAGCACTGGGATGCTCTGCTGATATTTATTTGCAGATTGTGGTTTCATCTCCATTATGAGTTTGCATCAAATCCTGTCCTTTGGCATAGTGCCATTCCTCTGTGTCGCTTCTAGCACTGGTGCTTGTTTGCTACATCCATGAATTCTTCTCAATATTTTTAGGATATGAGCCTCTCAGTTACCTACAGAATAGTAAGTGGGCTGCTTTCATGTTATTGATAATGTGAAACTGTGAGCTTTGTGTTTGACACTGGAGGTCCTGATGGGAGGAGGCTCGATACATTCCCTTTGAAATGTTTCCAGCATCGGTACACTCATTTTTTTTAACAAATCATTGGTTGCTTTAAGATGAAAGAACAGTATGATCCATAATTGGATCTGGATGTTTAAAGTCATTTTCCTTTTTGTGGCTGGTGACTCAACCTTCACATTCTTCTCTTCGTGTCTGTGTTGGAGAAAAGCCTCATCCAGTACTAGTGAACAGGAGATGTCCTCTGTCAATAGTGCTTCTGGCTCTCTACTCTTGCTGAGCATCCCAAATTGAGCAAAAAATCCTTTTTTTTTTCCCTCAGTAGAAGTGAAATTATTAATAACAGATTTTGGGCTGCTCTGAGTAATTACTCTGCTTTCTGCTGTTCAAAGTTCCCCATGTTTGAAAGTTCCCAAGCATTTCATTCTGCCTGTGGTATAATGATCTTTGTACTGCTGCCCAAAGTTGATCAGAGCCCTCCCTGGCCGAGGCATCAAGGCAAGGCTATGAAAGTCAGAGCTTGTGGGGCTGCCTGTGTACTCAGGTTTTTTACTTCCTAGTTTCTTCTCTCTGCAAGGATGATATCATAGTTTTCTTAGCTGTTTCTAATTTTCTGCTCTCTTCCTACTTCTCCCTCTCTCTTCTCGTTATCTCACTTGCTTCCTGTCAGTGCCCATCGATGTGAAACCCCAGAGCCCTGCTGGGGCTCTCAGCAGTTCCTCCTCTGCCCCAGCTCTGCCTAGGCATGGCTAAACACACACTTTCACTGTGACAGCACAGCCTTTGAAAACTGACAATTGATGATTGATAATAAATTGATACTCTGACAATTTCGGGCTGCTGAAAAGCCTCCTGTGCATGAGAGGCTTCCTTAGGGGATATAAAGAGGAGCTGCCCCTGTTTGTGGACTTGGAGGTGTGCTTCAAACAATCTGTGGAGCACAGTGGGTGTTCTGAGGGGGGGAAATGATGTGTGCTGTGATCCAGCCCTAAGGAAAGTACTTCCTGCAGGAGCAGGTGGCGGTGGGATTGCTCAGAGGCGCAGTCCCAGTGTGTCAGTAGCCACGACAGGAAGGCAGAGTGCTGCAGTGAATGATGAGGTGCTGCTGTGGTTTATTTTCCCCTGGGTCGTGCCATGCTCAGTTTGCAAAGGAAGCCTGTGCCTTCCTTCCTCTGCCAGCAGAGGTTCTGGAAGTGGAGCCTGGTGGCAGAGGGTTTGGGAGCCTCTGAACACAGACTGGGGACTTCAGGGAGATTAAACTTGACATCCTGCTAGGATGGGCTGGTTCAGAGGTGTACCAGCACTCTTGGCAGGAACAAGGACTATCTTTAGATGCTCTTTTGCTGAAGCAAAGGTTTGTGGAGTTTCAAAGAAAGGGAAATGGCTGGGACTTGTGGAGAAAGATGCCTGGCACAACCCATCTTCAGAGCTTATTATAACATCATGAAACACAGATTATTTCTCTTTTTTTTTCTTTTTTTTTTTTTTTTAACTTCCTGCTTTTCATCCACTCAGCTTTGATGATGTCATGGTTTTTCCATGTGGGAAAGAGTCAGCCTGCCTGGGACTCCCCCCACCTCCTGCATCAGGGCGACCTGAACTTTATGCAAATCAGGAGGAGCTGAGCTCTTCAGAACTTTTCCATAACTATGTGAGATTTAAAAACTTGTTTTGACCTGTTTAAAAAAACCCCTTTATAATAGTGTTTAAGATTTACATTCCCTGATAAAAGCAGGAGAGCAAATCCTTTAACTAATGCAAATTACCAGGTTTATTGATTACAAAAATGATTGTCATTATAAATCACCCAAACTCAGTATCTTACTTTTTAATCACTGTAGGTTTACTGCAGAGTAATAAATTTTAATATAGAAATATATATTTTTAAGAATGTAAATGATTTAGAATTTTATTTTAGGATTTTTTTTCCTTCTATGTCTGCCCTTACTTTAGGAAATACAGCATCTTTGCTCTTCAGGTCTCGTACACCCTTCTCAAAAGAAGCTTTTAAAAAATTTCTTACACTGGATGTTAGCACATTAATCAACATGAATATTTTATTTAATAGTCTACACTGTTATTAGTTGCTGAAATCTGGCCACATATGCTTCAGTTTTCAGAACCTGGGCATTCAGTGTGTGAAGAAGAAAGACCTGAAGGAATCCATTTCTTTACGAATCTCAAAGAAAATTAACCCTTTCAATGGTGAGTGGAAATCAGCTGGTTCTCTTGGCAGGGTGATGGGGTTTTGTTTGTCCTGTCCTGCCTTTGCTTTTGGGTTGGAGCTTTATTTTCTTCTCCAAAAACTCTCTTTCTGAGAAGCAGTCTTCCCCTTCTGTGTCCCTCCCAGTCTTTCTTCCCAGTCATCACATGATGCATCTATTTGGATAGTTGCCCTTTTTCTTTTTCTGTTGAGTTTTTGTAATTGCCAGCAGCAGTCTGAGTTGCTGCTTGGACTGAAGGAATGGGATAGCAGCAGAAACCTTTCCTGGAAACTTCTCCAAGTATCTTGGGAGTTGGATTTCCCCAGTTTTGGCAGTCATGAGAGTAAAAGACTGAATGAGCGTAACCCTGCAACAACTTAAGCCAGTACAAATCTTACTGTTGTCACTTTCTCATCTCTTCTCTTGCTGTGTGTCTTGTGGCCAGGCCAGGGGGCTGATGGCCCCTTGGGAGCTGCCCCTCACTTGATGTCACAGCGTGGCAGCTCAGAAACCCAGAGCAGGACTGTGGTGTCAGGGCTGGGCTGGGCAGGGCTTGGAGCAGCCCAGTGTGGTGGGAGGTGTCCCTGCCCATGGCAGGGGGTGGAACAAGATGATCTTTCAAGTCCCTTCCACCCCAAACCATCCTGTGATGCTGTGGTTGGGCTCATCAGGGTCAGAGGCAGGGCCTGCTGCTGCAGAACCACACCTGTGAAGGGTTTTGTTTGATGTGACTGATCTGTGGGCTGCTCTCAGGAGGAGTCATCCTGCTCTCCCCTCCATCCCTGCTCACACACTCCCACCACTTTCCTCACACCACCACTGACAGGGCCTGCGTGGCCCCACAGCGAGTTGCTCCAGTGGAAAACCAACTTGAAAGCAAAAAATGAAAAAAGGAGAGTGGTTTCCCTTCAGATAAACTTGTTAAACCAGCTCCCCTCACAGCAATTTTACTGCTAATTCTCTGCACAGAGGTGGTGGGGAGCACACTGCAATTTTTTTGGCCAATTGCAGTGGGACCAGCACATGCAGAATGCAAGCACAACTGGGGGGAATGAAATTAAAAGGATAAATACCCCCAAATTGTTTGCTAAGCAATGTCCATGTAGTCATGCATTTCCCTAAGTGTATTTCCCCAAGCAGGGCCTTGGAGATTCTCCAGACACTTCAGTGGGTTTTCTAATACCCACAGAACTCTTGCTATATTCAGGTAAGATCCTTAATGGAGAATTGAGAGCTGGATTTCTGGCTGGCTTTAAAAATACATGTCCCTGAATTGGAACAGAAAGAAGGATGCTGAATTTATCACAGAATAAGAAATGTCTTAGATATTTTTCTTCACTTTAGAGCAGCTGTTTGGAATCAGGCTGATGGCCCCTGATGACCCATCTGAACAAATACCCTAGTTAGGATTATCTATGCACACAGTATTTTGACAAGAGTTTAGTTCATCAGCACAATTTAAACACTTTAAGGGTTTGAATTATGTTGCCTTGACTCAGCCAGCTCTACCTTGATTTCAAGCAGTGAAAGGGGAACTTTTCTTTAGAAGGAAGTAGATTTTTACAGTTGTTGACACTTGACTCCACATCCACCAATAAATTTTGGGCGATCACGGAAAGTTGAGCTCAGTAGAATCCGGGCAGATCCTGGGCTGCTTCCCACCAGTCCAGCAGTGGAGGGGGCCACTTTGCTGCCCTGGCAGCAGGGGAGAGCCTGCCTGGGTGACACACAGGGCAGCAGCCTGCTCCAGGCAGGGGCTGTGCTGAGAAGGGGCCGCTGGCAATCCCCAGCTGTGTCACTGCCCTTCGGCGCATGTTAACGTGTCAGCACAAAGCAGAGCCACTTGAGAGCGGCCTCCAGGGCAGTCCCACGCTGAGCAGAGCCCAGAAAGGCCCCGGGACCAAGGTCTAATAAAACAGAATTAGTGACAGAAATGTTTTTATGTGTTTGTTTAGTTGATCAGAACAGGGTTTTGTGAGCAGCAATCACCGCCGATGTTTGCTGCTTGACAAGGTTGAGAGTTTTATGTATGGATTTAGTTTGTTTTTTAAGGTCAGAGGAGTGTTGGTACATTTTCCAGGATTGTGCAGACTGTGCTGAATCCATCCTGCATTGTGCTTTACCTCTGTGTCTTCAGAGAGGCATCTGGCTGCCCCGTTCAGAGACATTCTGGAGCAGGTCGCAAGTTGTTGTTACTCATTTCTTGTATGACATCATCAAAGGAACTTCATGGAAAACGAGCCTTCAGGGTGCTTGTGGGCTGGTAGGCTTTTCTTTTTTCTTTCCCACTTGCTTCTGGAACAAGCATTCCCTGTCCTGAGCCTCCTTTTGGGGAAAAGAGGTTGAGTATTGACCCTAAACAACTGATGCCTACCTTGGAATCCCTGGGTGATGGGAACTTGTTTGCAGATCGCTGCCGTGTATTGGAGTCATTCTGCCAGTGCATCTGTGTAAGGCTGTCTCCCTGTGAGCTCCCAGTGTTGGCTGGCAGCATTTGTGCCTTGTGAAATTCAGCACAGGCTGTAGGAGCTGTGTGCATTCACTAGGATGGATGACTTGCAATCAGGTTGCTCCTCTTGTGTTAGCCTTGTTTGAGAGAGAGGGAATTGCTGTTTCCACACTGTGGTTGTGATCCGTGGAGTTCCCAAAGCACGTGCCATGTATTTGAGTCCTCTAACAATCTCAGGAATTCTAGAAATCCCTTTTGTCTCTCATCTCTGAGCACTCCAGGGAAATGGGGCACGGTGTCAGCCTACCATGCAACTGGGACTCCTTGGCATGATGGTGATGATGATGATGATACAAATAGCACAGCATCGAAGGAGCAGAGTTACTCCTCCAGTGGAGCTGGTCCATGTCTGCTTTCTGTGGTGTTTGTTTTCTTTTAGGAGCTGTTGAGTTGTGCCATATCCTTGTCTTCCCATGCACTGTCTGATGTACAGCCAACTCAAATTAAAAGAAGAGCCAGTTTTCAGTTAAGAGCTTTTGTGAGTGGGTGTGACTTGACATAGAGACAACAATTGAGTTAATAACAACTGGAGTTAATTGTCAAAGAGGAAAAGCCCTAAATGTTTTCTTTAAATTATGGAAAAACTGTACTCAGTGCAGTGTTACAAAGGACTGACCTTTTTCTAGCCAAATGCATGGCAGCACAAAAACTCTGGACTTGTCTCGGAGTGAGAATCCCCAAATTCCAGGCGGTTTTATCAGCGGGGATAACCTGACTTTCCCTGGAGCTTGGCTCAATCCTCCTGCTCCTTTGCAGCTGCTCGTGCTGAGGAGCGTGCAGTTCATTTTTAGGCTGTCCCCTGCAGCCCACACCTCAGCACGTCTGCTGTGCCTCCGCAGCGTTTCCTTTGCGTTTCCCTTTCCGCCCGCCGGCGGCTGACCCTGCGCTCGTCACTGTGCCGTGACGCCCTCGCCCTGCCCACGCCGCCCCCTCCGCGGCTTCCTCCGCCTCTGCTTCCATGAGAAACCCCCTCTCCTCTGCTGCTGCTCTCCTGTCTTGTCCCCAATGTCCCCCTCTCCACCTGTGCCAGCTCCACAGGGAGTTTCGTGGAGTTTCATGGATTCCGTGCACGGCTCTTGGCAGTGGGTTGGAGGTGTCTGTTGTAACGATCTCCTCGGACATCACAAGGAGCTTTGAGCTGCTTTTCTTGTATTAAAACAAATGTGCAGCCCCCCAGTTACATCCTGAAGTGTAAAATTTTAGTAGTGAGAATCCCTTTGGAAGGGACACAGAGCAAACCCACTCAGGGGAAGCTGCGTGTCCTGATGGTGCCATGGCCCTGGCTTAGCTTTAGGAAGCCCTTTGCTCCTCTGCTCTCATGCAAATGCTTCTTTCTGCTCATTCCAAAATGCACGTGTTAATAATAAAGGACAGCCCCCTTTCAAATTGTTTAAAAAGGAAAATTGCCAGGTAGCAAGACAAAAATGCTGACTTCTTTATTTATTTATGATAGAAACAGAAACTGCCAAAGAAAGGTATCAGGAATGTACAGAGGCTAATGGATACACTTGTTTAAATCTGTTCCAACTTCACCTTTTTCACACTGAATTTAAAACAGGAAAGGAAACCAGAGAAACACTGTCTACACAAAATAAGTGCTGAGTTTTGAAAGTTGTGATTTGTATTCCCAGTTCTTCCTTTGGCCAGGCCATTTGCCTCTCCTGCATCTCTTTCTTCTGTAAACCAGGGAAATGTATCCACAGAAGTGTGGTCATTTACTGACTGTAGAATGGCATCTGAATTTTAGTTGTTTTCACTCACTGACATTTTGCTTTTTGAAAAATGGGTGTTGCTGATGCATGTTCTGTTTCAAGGTACAGGTAAAAGTTTCTCTTTTTTTCCTGCAGAATTGATTGATTTTTGTGGATCTCGGTGGAATGAAACAGGTGTGGGTGTATTGGGAGAAGAAACACGGTGCTGCCACAGTCCTTCCCTCCCCTTGTTCCCAGCTTCACCAGGACTCTTCATCAGGGGCTGTAGTGATAGGACAAGGAGTAATGGGTTCCCAGAAATAGTGGAATTTAGGTTGGATATACAAAGGAAATCCTTTAATGGTGCTGAGGCCCTGGCACAGGGTGCCCACAGAGAAGCTGTGGCTGCCCCATCCCTGGATGTGTCCAGGTTGGATGGGGCTTGGAGCAACCTGGGACAGTGGGAGGTGTCCCTGCCCATGGCAGGGGGTGGATCTGGATGAGCTTTAGGGTCTTTTCCAGCCCAGACCGTTCCATGATCCATTTTACTAACACTTGGAAAGTGTTAGTAAGAGGCTGCCCCAGCACAGCAGTGGCTGCAGCAGACACAGGCTGGGGGATGAGCTGGCTCTGAAATGGATCTCCTGGGCACCAAGAGGGACCTGTGGCCTGCAGCCCATTTCCCTGCCTGGTGTAAATCAGCAGCAGCCCTGGAAGAAGCTCTGCTTCCACCGATTCCCTCGCGCCAGGGCTGCCTGTCGTGGGAACCAGCTGGCTGCAAACAAGCCTTTTCCTCTCCCCTTCTGGCAAGATAGTTCTGAGCCAGAGCAGTTCCTTGATCTGATTCACCACATGAGAGCCGAGCCAGCCTGAGCAGTGCTGGAAAGGTTGGGCAGAGCCACCTTTGGCAGCAAAACCTCGGGCATGGGCCGAGTTAGACTGCCCAGTCGGTATCAGGGCCAAGGGGGGTATCTTTGTACTCCAGGAGCAAAACCCTGCAGGCAAACCACTTCTGTCTCATCCCTTAAATGAAACTGAGCTCCCAGCATATCCCTAAATTAAAAACCCTCATCTGCGTAAGAGAGAAACAACTCATGATGATTATTAATGATGTGTGTTCCCCACACATGTGGGGAGTGATGTGTGATGATTGTTAATGAGGTGTGATCTCTGGGCATTTTAACTGGTGGAAGGTCATTCTCTGTGACATCTCATGTGGCCCTGCAGCCCCTCAGTGGCAGGGGAAGCTCACAGGATGTCCCTTTGCAGCAGGGTGAGATGTGCTCTCCACAGAGCCCCCTCTCTGACTGTGTCACACCACATTGCCCTGGAAGTTTCCATGCAGGTTAAGCTGAGATGCCTCCAGCGCTGCCCACTCCAGATGGGTGACATCATTAGCTGGATGGTGGGCTCTGTGTGAGGTATGTGCTGTTGTGATAGGTGTTATCAGTCAAAAAACCAAACCCGTGATCATTTCAGTGTTCAGAATAAACTTCCACTTTCCCTGATGCATCACCTCATGAGTGAACATCAGAGCCCTTAACCCCCCATTAAATTAATCATATAAATGGCATTTTATTGGCCTTGCTGGATGTTGAAAGCTATTGAAATATTAAAAAACCAATAAAACTATAATTAGAAATTAATAAACAGGATGCCTGACATTACCAGCATCTTTAATTTTGTGTTCAACCTTGGACTTGCACGTTGGTGTGTTCAACCCAGAAAGTCTTCAATTTTGTGTTACAGAAACAAATCCAGCAGGTTCTCAGTGGAATTCAGTGGAATCCCAGCAAGGTATCTCTGGATTTTAGAGACAAAATCTTGGAGGCAGGGACAGCCCAAACCTGGTGCCTGGGAGCTGCCTGGATCAGCCAGCTCAGGTTGGAAGGAATTCACAGTTCAGCCCATGTGGGGTGTTTTGCCCACACTGGGACTGTGTTGGTCCCTTCCCACCTTAGCAGATAGTGGATTAGGAAATTATTTCCAAGATAATTATTTAGTAAAGCTGAGAAACCAGCATTTTATTCAGAAGAGTTGTGAACAGGTCTATAATGAAATTATTTAGTTATTGTAGTGCCTTTCCAGATGAACAACAAATCCTCCCTGGGTTTGGCCATAACTGCAGGTTTTCCTTTTGCAACCCTATTGCCAGAATCTTGGTGACTGGGGTTGCATTTCTTTTACCATGGTGCTGCTGGTATTTTTTATGAGCATTTTTTACATCATATTCCGTATTTACCTTAGAATTTTAGTTATTTTTAAAATATTATTTCAATTTCTTTGAGTTGCTTCTGAAAGCTCCTTGTAAAGCATATGAATAGTCCATCATGTGTTCCTCTGTGCAGAGATAACTACAGTTAAGCATTTCTGCCAGGTGAAGGCTGTTTTTTGTAATTAGTCTGGGCCATCACAGGCGTATACCCAGGCTTTTGGTTGGGCTCCAGCTCTTTCAGCTGGATCCAGATGAAGACACTAAGGTGTGGTACCACACAGCGAGCAGCAGTCAGAAGAGGAAGTTGAACCCTTGCCAAAACCAGAGGACTCCTTCCCTTTTTGTTTCTTTTTGGTCCTTGTGTTGTGTTGGAGCCTTTTTTCACCACACCTGTGCCCCCAAGGTGCCACATGGGATGAGGTTTTTCCTTCCCACCTGCGATGCCCCCGGTTTCTGTCCTGCTTGCGTGGGGCTCGGTGGGGTGGCTGCTCCTCCTCTCCAGTACATAGCGTTCCCAAAATCTTCGACAGCGTTTCCTAACTTTAATGACTGCAGGTTTGTCAGGTTTAACCCCTCTGCTGTCCCTCTGCACAGGAGCTGGTGGAATAAGATGGGGTGACATGGCCATCCTCCTCCACCCGGCCGCGCTCCGGGCGTTGCTCAGGCTGTTTGTCTGCCTCGGCTTTGTTTGCTTTTAATATTCCCAAGGTGTCAGCCAGCATCCACTCCGAGGCAGAGGCTGCTCTCAAATGGACTTCAGAGGGAGCAGGATTAGATGTTTGTTAAATATAACAGCATTTTGTTTTGTTTGGATGGTTGTCTTGTTTTGAAATTGGTGAAAGCTGTGTGCTTCTTCATATGCACATGGAATCTGGTGTCTCGTTCTTTTTTGAAGTGTGTCATCACACGATGGAGTTGCAGCTGTCTTGTTCTCCTTTTCTTGCACTGTTATGTTCTTCTTGTGGGGTTAAAAATAGCCTAAGAGGAATCACTCTTGACTGAACGCTTCCTCTTTCAAACCCCGGATTTTTAAAGATTCTATTAAATGGTTTATGCAAACATGCAAATCAGGAACAGTGGTTTTGCTGCAATAGAATGAGCTGTACCCAGTGATTCTGTCCCTTGCCGTTCCTGGCACACCACTCCTGTGTCAGGTGTTGGACAGATTTATTGGGAATTTGCGCAAGTTTGTGGCAGAGGAAATGACATCATTGAGCATTAGCATTGCTAATGTTCTCCATATCTAGAGTATTCTTGCTTTTGTAGAGTATTCTTAGGCTTCAGTCTGCTGTTAGATGTTTCTGAGGAAGAGTCACATTTCCCTGTGGAGGGCCCAGAGCGGGGCTGAGGCTCCTTTAGCGTGAGAGAGGGCCTTGCTTGCACAACCACAGTGTCCTCACTTTGGCTTCAGGGTCAGAAGCAGATCCAGATTTCGTGCTCAGCTTCCATCCACAGACAGCTTACTCAGGCAAAGGTACTGAATCAGTGCTTGGTTTGAGGTGTGAGCACCCCTTGGCTCTCTGCAGGGACCCACATGGTCACCAGTGGCTAACAGGAATTTGAGCCCTCATGTCAGGGTGTCCTTGGGAGCTTCCATGATGTCAGGGCATGGATTATGGATTATAGCTGCTCTCCTGATAGCCCTTCTGCAAGGTGCCCTTTGGAAGTGCACTTTTCCTTCTGAGTTCCCTGAATCAGCTGTACCCAGAGGCAGCTGGGCTGTAACTCAGCCAAATCCAGGTCAGGCTGAGGAGCTCTCTGCTCCAGACCCATTTCCTAAAGATGCTCTTTCAGGGTAGCAGGTGAGCTAAGGAAGGGCATTAAAGCATAAAACCGTGTGTGTCTGGTGACACAGCCAGCACCAACCCGCACAGTGCCACAGGCAGGACTCCCCTGGGCTCAGCACTTCTGAAACTCACACAGTTGTTGCTCAGGTTTGTACTCGCTGCTGTATTTGCCTTGAGATACTGCAGATCACAGGCTTGGAAAGGGGAAAGGTGACTTGATTTCCCTTTGCACCAGAGACCAGGAGAAATTGATATTCAGAGCACCAGAAGGACTCAGAGTGCCCAGTGGAAAGTATTCTGAGCTCATCACACTTACAATTTCACACTTATCAAAAGGTAAAAGGAAGAAGGCACTCAAGTGGGCATTGTGGAATCCCACTCGTGGCAGGGTGGGGACCTGAGCCAGTGATAAATGCTAAAGGTCAGAGCAGGCAATCTAATCAGTACAGCTTGGTCCCCAGGCTGCTTATCACAGCCACGTTTAATCTTCTGCTCTTGCAAGAGCCCTTTGAAAGGGAGGGGAGGAGAGTGGAGAGCTGGTGATCTGGTGGCTTGGCACATGTTGGCTTTGGGTAGCTGTGAGGAGTGTGGAACAGCTGCACTGCTGCTGGGAGGGATTTGGGGAGACAGAAACACTTGCAATTATTTTAATTATCAGTACTTCTATTTCAGTGAAATTAAGCCAGTTTCTCATTTTTACTAGCGTTGAATGCCAACACAATGGTTTAGTGTCACACCTTAAAGGAAAGTCTCGAATTCAGAGGGGGCTGCTCTTCCCAGAATTGTCCATTAAGCTGGGAATACATGAAATGTTCAGTAATGATACCCAGGCCCTGTGTCTTGTAATTAATTAAAATAAGGAGTGAACAGAATTGAAATGCTGAGTTTAGGTTATGCATTGCTGGGCTTTACACTGGGAGGGATATGCAAGGAAATGGATCCTTTCCAGCAAGGCTTTCCTTCCTGTGTCACAAGTCTGTATCCCAATGGCTCCACTGATCCCTGCTCTGAAAGGTACAGCTGTGACACTGCTGCTGGTGGTGGGGAGGTGATTTCTGTTGTTTCAGCTTCATTCTTGCCCCAGGAATTGCCTTCTGACTCTCCTTCCATCTCAGTCTGCAGAGGAAAATAATGATACCATGTAGCCAAAGAAAATCTTTAATGGGACCCTAGGATCCCTTTGTACCAAAGTATTTCTCGTGGGCAGCAACATTAATTTTGTAAATTTTATCACGCACAAAGAAGAATTAAAAAATCGCTTTTAAGCTATAGCTACATGAAAGTGTTGTGGCAGGCAAGGTGAGGAACCCTGGCACAAGGCACAGCTGGAGAGCTCAGACAGCTGAGCCTTGTTGGGTGCAGGGAAGGCGTGAAAGGCTTCAGTATCAATTGTGTGAGCAAGAGATTAATTCATGCAGCCCCTGTCCAGCTGGGCAACTCCATCTCTTGTACTGGTGAGGGCTCATCCCCAGTTTGGTGAGGAATTGGTGCTGGCTCTGTGCCTGACGTGGGTGCTGTGTGTCCTGCAGTGCCCGAGGAGCAGCTGCACAACATCGACGAGTACGACCTGAACGTGGTGCGGCTCTGCTTCCAGGCCTTCCTCCCCGATGAGCACGGCAACTACAGCATAGCCCTGCCTCCTCTGATCTCCAACCCCATCTATGACAACAGTGAGTACCAATGGCTCAGCCACACGGCTCTCTTTGCTTTCCCCATTTGTTCTTCTCTTCAGCTTCTTTCTCTTCCTGAGGTTTGTGCCAGCTCTGAGTCGCGTCTGTGGCTTGGGACTGCCAGGTGTCCCATGGCAAGGCACAGTGAGCAAACATTCAGGCATGATCCCAGGGTGAAATGTTGGCCAGCCAGAGTGAGGATTGTCCATGGCATTCCTGGACTCACACCCAGGTGTTTTTCCAGCCCTTGTTCACCACAGCAGTGTGATTGCAAGGAAGGGTTCATGCTTGATGTGCCAAGTGATTCAGGTGATAGTAGTGAGATGCATGGCTGCCTCAAGGCTGATCTGCTTTCCAAGAGTCCTCTGGAGCCTGTTTGTGCCCTTGAGGAGTCTTGCCTTTGCCTTGTGAGGGCTCTAGAATGTGACTTGCAGGAGAGATTAATGCCAGTGGGAAACTGTGTGAAGGCCTTTTGTGTCCTGCTTGGTGGCTGTTCCATGTACAGGTGGGCAATGGAGGAGTCCTTGGTCACCCAGGAGGGTGCAGAAGTATGTGACACTCCTTGGCATTGTTTTCCACATTCCACAAAACTGGGCATCCTTAGGGCATCAGCAGCTGAGGATTTTAGCCCCCAGTGTGTGTCAGACTCATCTCTGGGAGCAGAGTAGCAAAAGAACTCTCAATCCTGAAAAACTTCCCTGCAGCGTTTTTAATTTCTGCACCATGAGCGTTTCCATGCTAAATATTTGACATCCGTTTTAGCAGAAAGTACTGAATAAAATGAATCTGCATTTCCTGAAGTTGTTAGGATTGTGTTGATGTGGGCACAAACCATTGTGAGTATGCTGAGTATGATCTCAGATGGCTCTGATATAATTAGAGTCTCCTCCAGAACGATCTAGAAGCTGGAGCTGCTAGCATTGTGTCACTGAGAACCCTTGCACTGAAATAATCAGGGCTGAGATAAAAAACTGATGCACCAGATTTGCAGCTCTGCCTCAGCTGCCATTTAGAAATGTGCCAAATCATGATTACAGCTGCTGGGCTGATGTCAGAGCCTGCAGAGCTGCTGTGGGGGAAGCAGGGGCGGTGCTGGGTGTCTGTGGGCAGCTCTGACACCCAGAGCCCTCCCTGTAGCACAGCAGCTCTGTAAATAAACCCAACCACACATTGTAAAGAACAGCCCTGCTCAGTTTCACATCCAGTTGCTTTTAAAAGTGTCAGCCTGCTTAGAGCTGCTCTGTCCTACAGGCTGTGCCCTCAGGGGACAGGGACTGCAGGCTGGGCACCCCTGGGCTCTGAGCCTCCACAGATCTGCTCAGATTAGGAGCAAAGGAAGCCATCTTGGACACTTCAAATCCAGTATTTTCTTCTCTTTCTCATCCTTCATAGCTAGCCCAGCTCTTTCCAGAGAAGTGTGACTGTACCAGGGCACAGGCTGCCCAGAGAAGCTGTGTTTGCCCCATCCTGGAAGTGTCCAAGGCCAGGCTGGATGGGGCTCTGAGCAACCTGGGATAGGGGAAGTTGTCCCTGCCCATGGCTGGGGAGTTGGAAATGGATGATCTTTAAGGTCCTTTCCAACCCAGACCACTCCTTGATTCTCTGCTGTTGATGCCATTCAAGCACACAGAAGTGAAACATGGTAAAATGAGGCTTTTCCTCACAATTCTTAATTTACCCTTCCTGTGAAGAGCTCACTATGACACTGTCAATCACAAGGTCCTGTGCTGTTTCTGGGTTTGTTTGGTTTCCCCTCCCTTGAAGGGTTCTGATTCATTCAGCAAATGAAGTGGTGTGTGTCATGTAGTGCATGGGGCTGAGCTCCCACTAGAACAGTGACAGTAGAACTGCAGATAGTAACTACATAACTGGGGACTGGTGAGAGGTTAGCAGAGCTCTGCTCTAGGTGTAGTCCAGCTGTACTTGGGTAGGAATGCATTCAAACTGAGAGTCTAAAGCAGATTTGTTTGGTTTGGTTTTTGTTGGTTGTTTGTTGGCTTTTTGTTTGGTTTTTTTTGAGGTTGATACCATGAGCTTTGATTTTTGTGTTCCTTCTCTGAGTCTGGAATGGGGAGTCTGTGGTGGTGGAGCCTCATGGAGGATCAGTTTCATGGTGTCCAAGCAGCACCAGCTGGATCATTCCAGACATTTTAAAAGTGTTTGGAGCTGCTGCTCCAGAATGGAGCCAGACACCACCAGGCAGAGCGTGGCTCCATCCCACTGGAGTCACCCATAGCCATGAGATTGTGCAGCCTTCAGTGGGGACCAATTCATGCTGGGAGGGAGGCAGCTCTCCATCCCCAGCTGTCCTGAGGGCTGTGCTTGCACAGCCACAGTCTGGAGCTGGAAGTTTGAGTGCTTTGGGGTGAACCTGCTGCCCTCAGTGAAGGTGTGAAATTATGGAGCTGCTCCTGGACACCTGCAGAGGGGAACAGAGGAGAGGCTGGATTGCCAAGCAGCTCTGAGAACAGAACAGCAGCAAGATGCTCAGAGAGGGGAATTCTCCTGACTTGCTAGCCCAGCTCTTTCCAGAGAAGTGTGACTGTACCAGGTCATCAGTGACCCACAGAACTGCTCTGAATTCTGCAGCTTGAAGGGCAGAGGGGCTGAGCACAACCACCTCAGTGGGGGAAGTATTTAGGACTGCTCTACAATGGTTAGGGAGTGGGTGGCACAGCAGTGCTGGTGTCTTGTGCTTGGAGATAAGCTGTAGGATCATGGAATGTCGGACTTTGAATTTCCTGTATGGAGGAAATTGCTTTGTGTGGATTTCAGGGTGTCACACTCTGAAGTCCCAACAATTCTGGGTCATTAAATCTGCCTGTTTGCTTCCAGGAGCTCCCAACACCGCAGAATTGAGAATTTGTCGTGTGAACAAGAACTGTGGAAGCGTCAAAGGAGGAGATGAAATATTTCTGCTGTGTGACAAAGTCCAGAAAGGTAACCTGGACTAGGTTTTCTCTTTCCCTTTTTCCCAAATGGACACATTCCTGCTGGGGGGCTGAAACCCTTCAGCACACACCCCGGAGTGGTTTGGGTTTGGAGCTGGGTGGTTCATGGGATCTCAGCTCCTCACTTTGCTCCCCCTTCTTTCTGCTGCAAGTTCTCAGTTTTCCAGCCTGACAAGCACCTTCTGTTTCTCCTGGCGTAGATGACATAGAAGTGAGGTTTGTGCTGGACAACTGGGAGGCCAAGGGCTCCTTCTCCCAGGCCGACGTGCACCGCCAGGTCGCCATTGTGTTCCGGACGCCGCCGTTCCTCAGGGACATCTCAGAGCCCGTCACCGTGAAGATGCAGCTGCGCAGGCCCTCGGACCAGGAAGTCAGCGAGCCCATGGATTTCAGATACCTGCCAGATGAAAAGGGTACGGTTCCAGCCGTGGGATGAGCTTCTGAACAGCCATGGTCAATGCAGGACTTGTGGTGGTGGCTTAATTAATAGGAAATCCACAGCGCTGCCTCGGCAAAGTAGAGTTTGGGGTTTAAAAGTTAGAGCAGTCAGTTATTCCCTCTTCCAGTGAAATTACCAGAATTACTGCTGGGTAACACTGGCATGGTTTGTTAGTGCTGCCATGCCTGCAATGTTTTCCTTTAAGTAATTCCTACTACAACTTGGTGCCACTAGGGAGCTCCTTTAGGCCATCCTTAAAGAGAAATACAACTTTCCCCTTCCACTCCTTTCTCTCCAGATCCATATGGCAACAAAGCAAAAAGGCAGAGATCAACGTTGGCTTGGCAGAAGCTCATACAGGACTGTGGTAAGGAAAATATTTGTCTTTTTCTTCTTGTTTGAGTGAGCTTACATTTAGCTGGAGCTGTTCCCTGTAAGTGCTGCATACTCATGTTGTGTTCCATCACAGGATCCAACACGATGGAGAGGCCCAAGGTAGCCCCATTCCCTGTGGTCACTCCTGAGGGGAAGGCAATTAAGAAAGGTGGGTTTTTGCCTGCAGTCTGACAGTGCTTTAAATAGATAGTGCCCTCTCTTTGCTTGAAATTCTAATCTCTTGAGGGTTTGCTCCTGTAAGACAGCGATGCTTCTGACTGTACAAACTTCAAGCTATCAGTTCTTTGTGTCACCCTCAGTATGGGCCATAGAGGGGCGAAGTAAGCTGTGACCGTGTTCACAGGGGTCTTAGGGTGAGGGAAGAGACGAGGATCTGACTCCATGTTTCAGAAGGCTTGATTTATTATTTTATGATACATATTATATTAAAACTATACTAAAAGAATAGAAGAAAGGATTTCATCAGAAGGCTAGCTAAGAATAGAAAAAGAAGGAATGATAACAAAGGCGTGTGGCTTGGACAGAGAGTCTGAGCCAGCTGACTGTGATTGGCCATTAATTAGAAACAACCACATGAGACCAATCACAGATGCACCTGTTCCATTCCACAGCAGCAGATAATCAATGTTTACGTTTTGTTCCTGAGGCCTCTCAGCTTCTCAGGAGGAAAAATCCTAAGGAAAGGATGTCTGTGACAGTAAGCAGCTCTCCTGCTGCTGCCAAGAACTCTGGGGTCCATCCTGGACAGCAGTGAAGCAAATAGACAGTGGGAACGCCCATGCAACCTTGCTGTCTTTCCTTTGCCTTTTACCGCTTGTAATTTGAAGAAAAAACCACAAAAACCCCAAAATCCCTAAAAAGAGGCATTCTCTCCGTAGAACCCAACGTGTTTCCCTCCTCGCTGATGTCCCCGGGTTTGGGAGCCCTGTCCAACCCGAGCCAGCTGTACGCGAGCTGCTCGCAGCCGCCGGCGGGGCCGAGCAAGCAGGACTTGCTGAACACCCCGTTCTGGGCGCTGGGCTCCCTCCAGCACGGCGGCAGCTTCAGCACCGAGCCGCAGGGCAGCGCCTCCCTGCCGGCCTTCCCCGACGGCGGCGCCGTGGCCTGGCCCGACGAGAAGGACTCGAGCTTCTTCCGGACCTTCGGCAGCGCCAACGGGCTGGGCGCCGCGGGGCTGCCGGGCCCCGAGCTGCAGCAGGGCCTGCCCGGCGGCTCCGGGCTGCCCATGGACACGGAGGACATGGGCTGCGGCAGCCTGAGCCTGGAGCGCTTCAGCGCCGCCGTGCTGGGCAGCCAGCGGCAGCAGCCCCCGCTCCCGCTGCCCCCGGCCGGGCCCGGCGCCGCCTTCCCCTCAGCGCAGCCCGGCCTGGCCGAGCCCGCCTACGGCTTCATGGACGCGGAGGGGCTGGGCGAGCCCCGGCTGGGCCAGCAGGGCGGCCTGCCCGACGGGCACTTCTACGACACCGACGGTGTCCACGCCGAGGAGCTCTACCAGTCGTTCCCCTTCGATAACATCCTGCAGAGCTATCACCCGTGAGCCGGCGCTGCCTGCGGAAAGCTCCGCCGGTGCCGCTGCCTGGAGAGGAGCCTTTCATGTCATTTACCCTTCTGGAGTCCCTGCTTTCTTCTCTTTCAGAATGTTGCCGTGCAAGTTTCAGGTTCTAACTTAAAGGTTATTTATTGCAGCCCACAGTGGTGCCCCTAAAGAGAAGGTGGGAGTAGGGTTTGGGGTTTCTGTACCTTAAAGTATCTTGTAGATGTGTTTTTAGAAGTGGGAACTGTTAACACTTAAAGCTTCCTTACCTTTGGGGACTGTAAAAGCTGGCATCTTCAGAAGGGTTAAAGTTTCAAGTACTTCACAGGGTTGAAGTTATTTTGAAATAGCCATTTTTGCTATAGAAATTAAATTTAAATTTTGATAGTACAGAAATTAGGAAAAAAACCCTGCACGTGAGCACTCTAATTCAGTCCTATCTAATGAATGGCACCTGATTCTGCTCAACTTACTTGAAAGATTTGGGTTTTTAATCCCCTTTCTATAAATATTCTCCTAAAATGAGAACGTGTATTGATTTTCCACGCTGTCACCACATTCCGTTTGCTTTGAAGGCAAATTTACTCATGAATTTTTTTTAATGACTATGTCATTGTTAGATATATTTAAAAAGACCGGAAGGTTTGAGTTTTTAAATAGTTGTAAAAGCTCTGTTGTAAAGGAAATCACTGCACAAGACAAGGAACAGAAAGTGAGGACTTGTCTGCACTCCAGCCAGACTGCACAATCTCACAAGCCATGCCCCTGTAGCTTTAGGAATGAAGCTGATATTGCTCTGCAGCTTGTGTGTGTGTGTGTGTGTGCAGCTGCCATGTGAGTGAGATTTGGAAAGGCAGGAATCTCTGGAGCCAGAGTATCCACTTACTCACTCTTTCCTCAGGTATCCTGGCAGTTTCCTGCTATGCAAGTGACTGCTTCACAAAGGCTCAGGTCCTGCCTCCCCAGCACCACCCCCTCCCAGGAGGGCAAAGCCAGAGGCTGCCCTGCTGCAGCCTCACCTCTATTAACAACTTTTAAAGCCATTTCAGTCTGTACTAATTAAAACCACTCCTCTGTCCTCTGTATCAGGGACCAGAAGTTCTTCCCACCCACTTGATTCCCAGCCTTCGCTCTTAGCCTGAGCAGGAGCTGCTCCTGACACCTCCAGCTGGAGGTACCTGGCTGGGTAAGACACTCTGGCCTTGGCAACTTTATTACGCTCTTATTTTTTAGAAGCGACACAGGGAAATGTCTGAGTATTTCTAAGGGACACAGCTGCTCTTTAGGGCAGGTAAGGTCGCCCTTGTCACCTTTTGGTGATGTAAAATTGCACTATGAGCACAACAACAAAAAAAAGCAACAGCTTGTCCTCAACCCGGCCCCCAAATCAAACAAGCCACTTGAGATGTAGAGTTGTACACAAGGAAAGGTGCTCCAGAACCCCTCTGTGGCTTTCAGGAAAGCAGGGATGCCTTCCCTGCAGGAACCCATTGCATTGGGAGCACTCCAGTGCTGCTGCTGGAGTTGCATCAGTCAGGTGAGCTTTGGAAACTGCTTCCCCTGACTCCAGGTGCACAACAAATTGAAAACTGTTTTAAAGCAGCGTTTTCTCACTTCTGCACCTCTCCTCCACACTCCTAAGCAACAGAAAGGCCAAAGAAATACACAGACAGTTTGAATCGTGTTGTTTATTGTTCTTTTTTTTTTGAAGTTCTCAATTTTAAGTATATTAAATGTAAACATTTTGCTAACTTCAGAAAACCCTCTGCTCACTTTATAAAGCTCTTTGTAGTATAATTTGTTTTTACTGTATAATTAAATATTTTCAAAGTTCTGGTTTCCTTTATAAACGAGTTGGTTTGGTAATTAAAAGAAACTGGTTATACAAAGTGCTCAGCTTCTGCAGCTCCTCGGCTTCATGACGTCCCTCACCACGGGCAGGCAGGGAAAGGGACAAGGTAGGTTCTGGGCTGCTTATCCTGGGCTTTTTTGGGGTATTTTCTGTCCCTGTTGCTATAAAACCTCAGGCATGTGAGGGCTGATGTGCCTGAGCAGGTTTTGGGGCAGAGCTGTTGGTTTTTAGGCAGAGGGCACCAGGGCACAGATGCTTTTGGCTGAGCTGTGCTGCCAGTCCAGCTCTCTCCAGGCCCAGCTGAGCTGATGCAAAACCAAAATGCAGGGGGAGGCATTAGAGGTGTCCAGCTGGGGAAATACAAGCTGAAATTGTCTCTCACCAAACACCCAGACTGAGCACTCACCAAAATACTCCTAAAAATCAGCTGAAGGCCCAAGTGCAACATGAATATTATTGCTGCAATATTCAGTGTGTGACGGTTGCAAAACTGGACTGGAAACAAAGTTCAGACCCCCAGATTACATTTCTCAGTTTCATTTCTGCCCAAGAACTGCCTCAAGAGCTCAGGGATATTTGCATATCAGCTTCCACCCTCCCCACATTTGGATACTTCAGATTTCCCATAAAAATAACCAGCCTGGGAGTTTGGGAGGGGCTCTCTGCCTTGCAGGGGCTGCACAGGGAAGAGCCTTGTGTGTCCTTGGCAGCCCTTTCCCTCTCCCCCCCGGCTCCATTTCCCCTTGGAGCAGCTCTTCCCATGCCTGCTGGGTCCAGAGAGCAGAGTCTTGTTTACATTTTTTCTGTCCCTTGTAGATTATGGAATTTATAAATTGTATTCTAGCTCACTGTGAGTTTTTAAGAAATCACACAGATCTGAAATTCCCTTTTGTTTTCTGCATTGAGTTTCTTTAGTTTTCTATCATTAATGACATTTCCTTCCTGGCTGCAGATTATTATCTGAGAACTACTCATGGAATGTGTTGCTCATAAGAGCTTTAATATTAAAACCAAAAATAGTATTTCTGTCTGAATCAAATTTCTGTGTTAGAAAAACAGGAGCTTCTGAATGACTTATGTTACAGACACAAGTTCTGACAGCCCAGCACAGGCAGAGCTTAAAGGAGCTCCTTAAAAATGTATTTATTAACACTTTTAGAGCCTCCAGCTCTCATGGAGCTGTTGTAGCATCACTGAATTCAAGGGAAGGCATCCCAGTCATCCTCCCTGTCCCCACACAGTGGCTTCTCTTGGCAAATGTTACCCTCTTTAGCCCCAAAACGTTAACAAAGAGCTCTGAAATTCCAAACCTTAATTTCTTGTTGATAGTTTAACTCTTCTCTGTACTTCAGGGAAGCACCTCCCTAATGGATTAACATGATCCTGGTATAAAAAATGACTTCCTAAAGATGTTGGGGGTGCTTAGTAGGAAACATTTAAAATAACCAAAGGAAACCTCAGATCTTCCCTATTCCAGTTCCTAGGGTGTGTTCAGCTCTCCCAGGCATCCATCCAAGATGAGGTACAAGAAGAAATGTTATTCTAAATGCTAAATCAGAGGTTTTTATCTCTCTCTCTCGATACCAGCACCCTGTGGTACCTCCTGTTTCTGCCTGCTCGTTGACATTCTCGCTGTTCCTGTTTTTCTTTACATTCCCATCACCCACCAGGAGTTCCCAGTCTTTTTGTACATTGTGACTCACTGGGGAATTCCTACTCCTCAAAGGGCTGAGGAAGCCTCAACTCTTGTTTCTAGGAAGCATCCCCAATGTTTTTAAATGAGAAAAACTTGGTTTTAAGTGCAAAGTTTTCCTTGGAAAACTTTTTTTTTTTTTCCCTTTAAAAAGCACTCTGAGAGACAAATCTGCTTTTCTCTACTGCCACTGACCAAAACATAAGCAGAGTCAGGAAAAGTTGGGAGTGGGTTTCAGGTAACTCAGTGTTACCTGCATCCAATAGAAAAAGAGTTGAAAATAAAACCTGGCTTGATGGAGGGTTATAGACATTGGCTCCCCAAAATCTTTTTATGTACAGAAGAAATAAAAGTAAGGCTTGAGATTGAACCAGTACCTGGTCCTGAGTGTGTACAGTGGTGCCCAAGGGTATCCTCTGGCAGATGACCCTGATCCCAGTGTTCAGGGACACCCTTGGCACCCAGGCTGTGACAGGTCCTGCACAGTGTCTGGTCACCAGCTGTGCCAGGGAGCTGCTGCTTCCTCATGCCAGCTCCAGGGTTAATCAGCCAGGCTTGGAGGCCAGTCAACATCAACAGACTAGAAAAGCACAGGGGAAAAAAGGCAGCAGAGTTGGTGTTTTATGGATACCCAGAGAATCACAACTCCTTCTGCTACTCCCTGGCAGCACCACTCTCTGTTGGGCTGCATTTACAAAGGGGAGTAGCACTAGGAAACACATCCTGTGCTAAGGAATGTTGATCCACTTAGAGCAATTCCATGGAAAGCATCAAACCAGGGCACCTCCCTTAGTAATTTCCAGGAAAGACAAACAGCAACCAACTCACCTCTACATCTAGCTCCAGGATGTCAGCAGTTCTGTTCAGGAGGGACCCAATGTTGGGCTTGGTTCTCCCAAAGTCTCCGTGCACAAACTCCTTAATGTAGCTGGAAAACTCTGGCTAAGGAGAGGTGCATTCCACACCAAAGAAATCAAAATGGGGGAGAAAAGTGCTTTTTCTACTCCTAAGTAATTTCTTAGTTAATATCCTGTTGAGCCCATACCTTTCTTCAGGAGAGCACCTAATTCCTGACTTCTGACTCTGGTGCCAAAAACTGCACTGCTGACCTTTATTTTGTTTCATTCCAAACTGAGTAGTGACTTTAGGACAAAACTGTAACTTTTAAGTAGCAGCAATCTCCAGTCTGCACTGAAGTGCATTAAATATTGTGGAAAAGGTCATTTTGGAGGCAAAAAGTTTTCAGTTAAATTAGAAAAAGCTGAAGTGTATTTTAACCAGCACAATTTTATATCTGTCACATACTTAATGAAAACTTAATAATGCACAATTGTGACCTAAAAGCAAATATTGTGCAGAGATACCACTGTGGAAGAGCAGGGGTTTCAAAACACCACAGCCACCTGAGCAGGGAGCTTTCCCTTATGTTGGGGAAGATGAAACAGGAAAGCCTTATAAATATGATTGTCTGGCAAAAGATTTTGAGAATATAGAAACTATAAGTGAGATTGAAATGAAAGCAAGCTTTGAGATCCCTCAGTTACTGAACAACTGCAAAACAATGGCATGGCCAGCTGAAGGTGATCCCCTTTTGATGGAACAACACCCTCTGCCTGCAGACAGGCCCAAGGGGCAGAGCAGACCCTACAGCTTGGCAGAAGGGGCCCAAAGAGGAGTTTGTAGGGTTTAAAATGTAACACAGTGTGGTGATGTAGTGATTCTTATAGGCTGTATGTAAATGCTGTAGGATTTGTATCTTGTACTAGATTGGTTAGTGATCATTAGAATATTCAGCACAGAAGATTTATTGTATTGTAATGAGAACTTTGCTCTCTTATCCTGTCTTTACTCTCTCATCCTCTGTACCACACTCTTGCCTTCTCTCTCTTTAGCTCTCTCTTTACTTCTTTTGGGCCTGAGCTGTGGCTGGCAGCTCCCAGCAGGGCCCTGGAACCCCAAGTTCCACAACCTGGCTGCAGAGATCTCTCATCTCCGTCCATCCCAACCATCCCACCCCTGTCTCTCCCACTCCCTTATGGCAGCCAGTGCCCCAGGAGCTGCCAGGGCCCTCCCTGGCAGGTTGCAGGTGCCAGGATACGTTCCTGCCTGTGTCCTGAGGTGCAGCCTGAAGTGGTGCTGGTCGATGTACTCGCTGCTCATGCTGTGGATGAGGCGGCAGCGCACGGCCAGCGGCCGCCGGTGCAGCACCCGCAGCGGCGTCTTCTGCTCCAGCCTCAGCTCCTGGGCAAGCAGGGACCAAAAACATGAGGGAGAAAAGGTGAAATGCTGCCTGGATTGTAGGAACTGTGTGTGGTGTTAACTGGTCCCATCTCTTTTACCTTGTGCTCAAGATCAGTTAAGTTGCTGTTATCAGTTGAGTAATCTCAAGGCAAGACCGATTTTTTCCAAGTTTATCAAAGGAAAAAGGACAGCCCTCTCAGAGGCCTCACATGAACACAAACTAATGGAATGACAAATACAGAGGAATAACCTTGAAATCTCCATAGCCCTTTGCTGGAATGACTCCAGGATTCAGCAGCTCGCTCAGAGCCTCAGGGCAATCAGAAGAAGAAAATAAATCCCACCCACAAAATGCTTTGTCTAAACTACAGCCAACCCCCTAGAAATAAAAGTGAGGGGGAAAACATTAAATGAGATTAGATCTCAGAACAGTCTTTTCAAAAGTTCATTCCCAACTCCCTTTCCCCAAGGAGAGGCAGCAGTGTGAAAGGCAACTTGTCAGGAGCAAGGGAAGCTGAAGGAAGAACTTCCCAACAGTTTTTTGTCTGCCTGAGCTGTAATGGCTTTGAGAATGAGCTCATGAGCAGCTCCTATAGGAAATGGTGCATCACACCAAAAACTGAGCCCACTTCAGGCCAAGATCTGGAGAAAGTTCTCATTCCTGCACATGCTGAGCCTTCCTGAGGCCTCTTTGCACTCTGACATAGACATTTCCACCTCCAGGGTGCTGCAGCTGTGGGAGAATGGCTTTGGAGCAGAACAAAAGAGCTTTTCTGCTCCTT